AGTCAGGTAAATAGATTAAAATGTAAAACTTTATATATATTTATTTAATTATTTAAAAGGATAAGAAGTCAGTACAATAAAAGTCTGATATTTTTGGCATCAATTACCAATGAATATATAGACTTTTAGGCTTGAATGTATTATAAGGCTTCTTAGGACAGGAGTACAGAAGTTGCCAGTCATTGTATGCATTGATGAGAATGCACTTTGTGTATAACATCTGTTGTAAAACAGATTGTTTGGAATGCTTATTCATTATACTACAGATGTTGTACAGTAATGAGTTACCTTTGTCTATGATGCTGTTTATGATTGCATTGGAATCAATATGAATTGATCTATGACTTTTTAACACAGTGTCATAATAACTCATATTGAAATTATTTTCTATTATTTGTGTTGTTTGGTTGCTGTCTTATCGATATATACCCCATGCCTCCTCTCTATTCATATTTTTCATTGGCTTGAACAATTTTGTACCAAAAATTAACCAGATTGTTTTCCAATACCAGGCCTTAATGAAAGGCTACTAATTTATTTTTGACCTTTCAAAGACTAGACGATGTGACGCAGATAGTCCTAAGATTGGGTAGTCCCGCACATTGCTGGTGGGTTCAACTCTAATCTTAATTGACTAAGATTGTCAGTTTTCCTGCTGAAGGCTGGTGGTTCTCTCCTGCCACTGAGGCTGGCTTCCTCCACCAATAAAAACTGATCCCCATGATATAGCTAATAGTGCTGAAAGTGGTGTTAATCACCAACAATCAATCATCAATCAAACCTACGATGGGGTAGGTCTCTTTCTGTAAGTCTGGATGAATGACCCAATGTCGTGAAGAAAAAGCATATAAAGAGTTCAGTAGAATTAAAGGAATCGCAGACCTCAGCAAGATGACCACTGTGTACCCTTTACACTTTATCCATAATTTTAACACCTAGACTTCTAGTTGCTGAAGGTGCTATATAAATTTCATCAAATTTACACCCAGATATTTGATTTTAAGATTTTAAGCAAGTTTTTGAGCTACCACATATAACATGAATATTCTGCAGCTGTTCTAAGCTTTGATTTCCTGTCAGTTGAATCTTCTTTTTTAACAAAAATTTGAGATAATGAGTCTGCTATTAAATTTTGGAATATTTTCAAAACCAAGAAATATTTATTACATAAAATGAAAGCATGAAAGATTATTTTGATATTTAATGAAAGCTCTGCAATGTATCATGATTCAGCTTCCAAGATTGCATCATGGCAGCATAGATAAATTACAGAGCTGAAGCTATTTGTTAAAAATAAGAAAAAAAAAGAATGCAGTCATAGGGAATTGTGCAGTTTTTGTTAGAATTAAGGATACCGGTAATATGAATGATTAACTGAAACTGTCTTTTTTTATATATTATAACATGTAGTTAGGGGGAAAAAGGGGGAGTAAATAACACAGTAAATATACTTTAGTAAATGTAAAAGCCGAGACTAGTTAGAATCCTTAATATATATAATAAGAAAAGGCTGTAGTACTAAAATGTTATGGTCTGTCTGACTAGTTCCAACTTGAAACTTAAAATTGGGTTGTTGTCTAAATGACATAGATTTGTATACCCACATCTCCTTCTAGTCATGGAAAAGTAAAAGAAATGTTTCTTTCAGACAAGTTGACCACATATAAGATCATGAAGATCAGGTAGTTTCCCAAGAAAATGTAATTGTTTTCACCTGTCTAGCACCTGTTTATTGTTTGTTTGTACATGTTCTAACATGTAACATAATAATGTTACTTGTCATACAGGTTGTTTTTATGATAATTTATGGTCCTAAATTAAACTGACCACATGAAGATCTTATAGGGTCTTAAATTCTAAGGAAAGCAAGCCATGTTGTCAGTCTTCATGCTTAATGACAGGCCCAGCAGCCCAGGCTTGTAAAATTGTTTTCAGGCAGCCCAGGCTTGTAAAATTGCTTTCGGGTCTGTAAAAATCATCTCTACATGCCAACAGAACCTAACTAAAATTTTCAAAAAATTTAAGCTCCAGGCCTGTAGATTAAAGCTCTGGAACTGTAGATTTAAGCTCCAGGCCTGTAGATTTAAGCTCCGGACCTTTGGATTTAAGCTCCGGACCTTTAGATTTAAGATCCGGGCATGTAGATTTAAGCTCCGGGCCTGTAGATTTAAGCTCCGGGCCTTTAGATTTAAGCTCCGGGCCTGTAGATTTAAAAGTTTATCGTGAAGACTGTGTTATTTGACTTGGTGGAGTTTGAGATGATGGACTTTTATGGTACTGATACCTAAGATGACTGTATGGAAAACAATATTAAATAAATGAAAAAGTAACCTTCCAGTCCTTTTTCAAGCACTTCAATACGAAAAAGGAGGATGACAACATAATTTAATCGCAATTATCAGGGGTGTAAGTACCAGCTTTCTGGTAAGCTAGGGATGTTTAGGTTCTCATTAAGTCAGTAATATGGTTCAAAAGAACACTTTTTTCCTGAGTTCTAGTATGATATTCTTGAATGGGGATGCAACACATGCCAGGTTTTAAGCAGCCTACATTATAAAATTACAATAACCTAACCCTTTTGAACATCCAGTGAATTTTTATACGACCGCAAAAAAATTTTTGTGGTCGTATATTGGTATGACGTTGGCGTCGTCGTCGTCGTCGTCGTCGTCGTTGTCGTCGTCGTCGTCGTCCGGCGTCGTCCGAAGACACATTGGTTTTCGCACTCTAACTTTAGTTTAAGTAAATGGATCTTTATGAAATTTTACCACAAGGTTCAATACCACAAAAGGAAGGTTGGGATTGATTTTGGGGGTTATGGTAATAACAGTAAAGGAATTAGGGGCCAAAAATAAGCATTTTTGTAACTTCCAGACATAACTTGTGTGTTAGTGTATGGATCTCTCTGACATTGTACCACAAGGTTCCATATCACTAAAGGAATGCTGGGATTGATTTTGGGGGTAATTGCCTCCAAATTTTAGGAATTAGGGGCCAAAAAAGGGGCAAAAAACAAGCATTTTTCTAGTTTCATGACAATAACTTGTGTGTAAGTGTATGGATCTTTCTGAAATTGTACTACAAGGTTCCATATCACAAAGGGAAAGCTGGGTTTGAGTTTGGGGGTAATTGCCCTAAACGTTTAGGAATTTGGGGCCAAAAAGGGGCCAAAAAACACATTTTTTTCTAGTTTCCAGACAATAACTTGTGTTCAAGTGTATGGATCTCTCTGAAATTGTACTGCAAGGTACCATACCACAAAGGGAAGGCTGGGATTGAGTTTGGGGGTGATGAATCATAATGGGGGTTCAAAAAATTTTGGGGGGGGATTTATTTTTTTTTCCTTTTTTTTATTTTTTTCCTTTTTTGTTTCTTTTAAAATTTTCCATTTTAAGTTGGTTATTTCTGATTTATATTTAAAATCAAGTAATAATGATATGGTAGGAGATACACACCAAACAGGATGTGTAAATTATTATATAATAAGTATTGTGCAATAGCAAGAAATTTTCAATTGCACAGTATTGCACAATAGCAAGAAATCTTCAATTGCACAGTATTGCGCAATAGCAAGAAATCTTCAATTGCACAGTATTGCGCAATAGCAAGAAATATCCAATAGCACAATATTGCGCAATAGCAAGAAATTGTCAATTGTACAGTATTGCGCAATAGCAAGAAATATTTAATAGCACAGGATTGTGCAAAAGAAGATACTTCCTATAAATTGCTTATTTCTTGACCAATTTCAATGGGGTTTTATTCTTGATTTCATGGGGTTCTTTAATATGCTGAATCTAACCGTGTATTTAGTTTTTGGATTTTGGGCCCCGTTTTTAAATTGGTCCACATTGAGGTCCAAAGGGTCCAAAATTAAAATTTGTTTGATTTCATCAAAAATTGAATTATTGGGGTTCTTTGATATGCCGAATCTAACTGTGTATTTAGATTCTTAAATTTTGGTTCCGTTTTCAAATTGGTCTACATTAAGGTCCAAAGGGTCCAAAATTAAACTTAGTTTGATTTTAACAAAAATTGAATTCTTAGGGTTCTTTGATATGCTGAATCTAAACATGTATTTAGATTTTTTATTATGGGCCCAGTTTTCAAGTTGGTCCAAATCGGGGTCCAAAATTAAACTTTGTTTGATTTCAACAAAAATTGAATATATGGGGTTCTTTGATATGCTGAATCTAACCATGTATTTAGTTTTGGATTTTTGGGCCCCGTTATCAACTTTGTCCACATTGAGGTCAAAAGGGTCCAAAATTAAACTTTGTTTGATTTCATCAAAAATTGAGTTATTGGGGTTCTTTGATATGCCGAATCTAACCGTGTATTTAGATTCTTAATTTTTGGTTCCGTTTTCAAATTGGTCTACATTAAGGTTCAAAGGGTCCAAAATTAAACTTAGTTTGATTTTAACAAAAATTGAATTCTTAGGGTTCTTTGATATGCTGAATCTAAACATGTATTTAGATTTTTGATTATGGGCCCAGTTTTCAAGTTGGTCCAAATCGGGGTCCAAAATTAAACTTTGTTTGATTTCAACAAAAATTGAATATATGGGGTTCTTTGATATGCTGAATCTAACCATGTATTTAGATTTTTGATTTTTGGGCCCCGTTATCAACTTTGTCCACATTGAGGTCAAAAGGGTCCAAAATTAAACTTTGTTTGATTTCATCAAAAATTGAATTCTTGGGGTTCTTTGATATGCTGAATCTAACCATGTATTTAGATTTTGGATATTGGACCATAATAGGTGAATGTCCAATTTAAAATTTTTAAGTTCTTAGACCACATTCAATCTGTGTTAGAAACCTATGCTGTGTCAAATATTTAATCACAATCCAAATCCATAGCTGTATCAAGCTTGAATGTTGTGTCCATACTTCCCCCAACTGTTCAGGGTTCGACCTCTGCGGTCGTATCAAGCTGCGCCCTGCGGAGCATTTTATTTTTAACTTATATCTATTTCTATATCTGTTTTATTACAGTTTACTTGCCCAGAGCAGCCTGGTTATGTTGGATTTGCCAATCTTCCCAACCAAGTTCATCGTAAATCTGTCAAGAAAGGCTTTGAGTTCACTCTTATGGTAGTTGGTAAGTACAACATGTATATTGAAATTTAGTAGATGATAAAATAGAACATGTATTTACCTTTACAAGGTTGTGAAATGTTGATGTATCATTTAATTCATTATTTGAATAAAGAAATCAAAGCCAAATATTTGATGATGATACAAATAAAATTTTCAATTTGAAACCCTGGGGATAAGAGCACTGCAAAATAAATAAAAATCGATATTGGGTATACTCCTGAGACAGCAACCAACATATGTCTATAGAGTTCACCATAAAGCCTTAAGAAATAAGTAGTCTGAGCTTTACAATATAATTGAAACTGACATGATTCCTCAATAAAATTAAGAATGAAAACAGGGAATGTGTCAAAGAAAACAGCTCAAGGCCGCGAATGGGTCTTCAACACAGCGAGAAAATCCTGCACCCAGAGGCAGGCTTTCAGCTGGCCCCTAAACAAAAATGTATACTGGTTCAGAGAAAATGGACCTCACACTTAACTCCGAAACATATAAATGAACCAAAATTAAAAAACATACGAGACTAACAAAGGCCAGAGGTTCCTGACTTGGGACAGGTGCAACAATGCGGTGGGGTTAAACATGTTTTGTGAGATCTCTACCCTCCCCCTATACTTCTAGCCAATGTGGAATAAACAAACACACAGCAATAAGCACAGTAAAACTCAGTATAAAAGACATCCGAGTCCGATGTTAGAATAGGTAACAGAAGAAACTAAGCAAAATGACAATGATCAACATAAATTAACAATGTATACAGTCATGAGAGTATAAAACCTGTTTTACAGGAGTTTTAGAAATATAGATTCCACCTCTGCATCAAGTGTACGTGTTACCATATTTCTCCACTCGAGACAGTTCAATTTTAAAATTTAAAACGCGAGGCTTGCCAAGCTTTTTAAATATTTAAAATTTAACTGTTGAGAGTGGAGAAATATCATAATACACAAGATATAGTGGTGGAATCTGTTTCTCTAATGATTTTAAGACGATATCTAAACAAGTTTATCCTTCCTCTTCAAGGATTTGCAGTAAGTTGTGTTCTTTATATGTGATTTCATCAGACATCAACACCTTTTTTCATGACGTCACAATAGAAAATTCAGAAGAAATCAAGAAAATTGGACGTCATAATTGGAATTTCGCCCAATCATTTGACAAGAACAAAGTTTTCTCTAAGAGATGAGAAATATATTTCTCGCACCGATCAAGACATGTGAAAATAGCATGAAAATTAGAGAAGAGAAATTATACAAGTTTCTGGCAACAGGCTATATTGGATTTTATAATACTGGATGTCTATGAACTTTGCTTGTTCAACAATACTCGGTCAAATCATTAGTTATATAAACTAGATCTCACTTGTATATAAATCATTATAGGAGTAAAAAACTAATTTGTTTATACAGTAAATTGTAATTTATTTGTATTAGAGGTGTTTTACAAGCTAACAGGTGACATGAAATCTTTGAGCATGGAAGGTTTGAAACAGAATATATAATTATTTAACATGTTGACTAATGATTATATTATACAAACAAGATATATGTCTTTGTTTGTTTTGGGTAAACATGTCCATGTCACTAACCAAGTTTGTTTGCTGTGGTCAAACTTAAATTACATACATTTAGGTTAGTAGCTTTGTTTTTGAAGTGGTACAATGCTGATCAGTAGTTGGTCCCTCTCATAAATCTGATAACATTTAATGTTATAACAATGAAATGCATGGACTTATATGAAAATGAGGAGATGTGTTATGATTGCCAATGAGACAACTCTCCACCAGAGTTCAAATGAAGTGATAGCAAGCAATTATAGGCCACTGTATGCCCTACAACAATGAGAATAAACGAATACTCTATAGTCGGCTATAAAAGGCCACGACATGAAAAAATGAAACAATTCAAATGAGAATGGGGTGGTGTTAATAGATATAAGAAGATGTGGTATGAGTGCCAATGAGACAACTCTCCATCCAAGTCAAAATTTATAAAAGTAAACCATTATAGGTCAAAGTACGGTCTTAAACACGGAGCCTTGGCTCACACCGAACTGCAAGCTATAAAGGGCCCCAAAAATTACTAGTGTAAAACCATTCAAACGGGAGAACCAACAGTCTAATCTATATAAAAAACGAGAAACGAGAAACACTTATGAACCACATCAACAAACGACAACTACTGAACATCAGATTCCTGACTTAGGACAGGTGCAAACAATTGCAGCTGGTTTAAATGTTTTAATAGTACCAAACCTTCACCCTTATATGAAACAATAGTGTAACATCACAACATAAAAAGACACACTATAAAATATCAATTGAAATGGCTTAACTCAATCAAAAGACATATTAACACCAGTGAATATACACTGAACAAATAAATTTGATCTATGATACAATGTAAATACAAAATAGATAAACTATGGGAAGAATAATTAAAGTAACATGTTATACCGCTGTGAAATGTAAAACAATTTAAGAAAAACAATATGCTTGAACAAAAATATCAGCCATTTGCAATTACTTTAAACACAGGTAAATGAAAATAATTTTGTTGTTAGTTATACGTGTACAGTTCAAATGGAGAAAGGAAATATTTTTACATGTTTGTAAGCACTCAACTCTCCCCCTAACATGTTATCTCCTTACTTCTGATTCCTTTCCTCACTACTACTTGAAAGTTTACAGAAATAGATAAACACATAACAAAGATGAATAAAAGTAGATTTGGATTCCTCAAAAATAAAATTACTCCCACAGTAATCTAGAAATCATACCCCACTCTGTAGGAGTGGGAGCTACACTATATTGGATCACTATTTCATTTGTCTGTCTGTCTTTGTCCTGTCTATCGGTCTATCATCTGTCTGTCTATCCATTTTTTTGTCGAATATTTTTGTCACAATTCTCAGGGACTACCGAACAGAATGACTTCATAAATGGTGAACAGCTTGACATTGAAAAGTTGTTAGGTGTGAGTGTACTTTTTTTATCTGTCAGAGACATCCAATTCCTGTTTCCCCCTTCCCTATACTTCTGATTTATGACCTGGATTAATGCTTAGCAGGTCAAGTGTTGTTTGCAATATCATTTCTACTGAAATTGATAAAAAGATTTGAAAAAAAAAACAGTTTGACCTTTTATTTATCTTAACTTTCTAAAAAAAAATGTGTTTTAATCTTTTTCAGGTGAATCAGGCCTTGGAAAGTCAACACTAGTCAATAGTTTATTTCTAACAGATTTATATCCTGAAAGACAGATACATTCAGCAGCAGGTATAGAAATACTTTAAGTGTCAGTGCAAAATATTGTACAGGCACACACTTATAGAATGTGTTGTCTTGCATTTCTACATGTCAGTGCAAAATATTGTACAGGCACACACTTATAGAATGTGTTGTCTTGCATTTCTACATGTCAGTGCAAAATATTGTACAGGTATAGAAATACTTTACATGTCATTGCAAAATATTGTGCAGACGCACATTTATAGAATGTGTTGTCTTGTATTTCTTATCTTATGAGGAGTATGATAGGAAACACTTTTAGTATAAAGTTGTAAAATATAAGTAAAAATATTTTCGCTAAAGGAACACACATCATGAGTAATAATAAAAAGAATCAGAAAGAAAGAAAAAAATAAAACCAAATTAATAACAAGAGTCATTGAATAACTGGCCATTTAGTTTGTCTGCTGCTCTGACAGAAGTAGCATTAAGCTTCTTTGAAAGAGAAAAGTTTTTTACCACAAGAAGTTAATTCTTGCTAGCAAGCAATAAAATTATATAATACTCAACAAAACTCTTTTTTCCTATCACTGAAGAAAAATTATAGTAAAACTTTTGTAGTAGAAGTTCTGGATGTATTCCAGTAGTAATTAGGGAAGTAAATAACGATTTTGTCAAAATAAGAATAAAGGTTACCATGACAATATAACAACAACTAGGGAAATTGATGTATGTCACAGACTTGCAAGGAATTGAAATTCTTTTCCATAATAATATTTAGAATAGCTTGGCCTTATGTTTATTCTTCTGTCCACTTAATAATGGTCAGCTGGTCAATACATCAATGAGATTGATTAGCTCGTTACTTTTTATATACAAATTATCATTAGTAATAAAAATAATCCATATGTTAGTACTAAGTTGACCGATAAATAAGAATGCAAATCTTACATGATATTTATTTTTTTATGCCCCCGCCGTAGCGGAGGGGGCAATAAGTTTTACCCTTGTCCGTCTGTATGTCCCAAAATTGGTTTCTGTTCTCTAAATTTAGTTTGCCTCAACCAAATGTTATGAAACTTAAACTCAATGCTTATTACCACAAAACACAGATCAAATTTGAATTTTGGTGACGTCACTTTTACCGTTCTAGAGTATGCCCCTTTACAAATGTCCCAAAATTGGTTTCCGTTCTCTAACTTCAGTTTGCCTCAACCAAATGTTATGACACTAATACATAATGCTTATTACCACAAAACACAGATCAACTTGAATTTTGATGGCGTCACTTTTACCGTTCTAGAGTTATGCCCCTTTACAAATGGAAAAATTGCTAAATTTTTCGTTTCCGTTTATTAATTTTAGTTTGCCTCAACCAAATGTTATGACACTAATACACAATGCTTATTACCACAAAACACAGATCAATTTGGATTTGGGTAGCGTCACTTTTACCCCTCTTGAGTTATGTCCCTTTATAACGTTATATGCAAGCGGGGGCATCATCTGTGTCCCATGGACACATTCTCCATTTATTTAATTATTATATGGCTCAAAGTTAGGATTTAGAACAAAAGGTGCATTACTGTACCGTATATTTTCTATTTAAAATTTTACTTAAAATGCCACAATGATTAAATATTCAGTTATATAGAACATTGTAAATAATATGATAAGTTACAATTATGAAATGAGCCTCTTCCGGTAGAAATTGATGTAACTTCAAATCAAACTCATACCATTTTTTGCCGTGTATAGTACGCATTGGGTATTTTTGTGGATACATTTTTTTTATTACTTGGTTTCATGCTTTTGCAAAAGTTTGTACATATTTGCTTTACCTATCCCCACGAAATCCATTGCAATTGGTAATCAATAATTAATAATGAATTCACAGTAGTTTCTCAGCAGTACGATTGTAATTATCTATATATTTTTAGAAAGCTCACACAGTTTGAAAGTACATTTAGTACTGTAAAATGTTTAAACATAGTACTTTACAATTCATTGTTTTACTTTTATTTCTTTATTTTTTTATAGAGAAAATCAAGCAGACAGTAAAGATAGATGCTTCTACAGTAGAAATAGAAGAACGAGGAGTGAAACTGAGGCTGACTGTTGTAGATACTCCAGGCTTTGGAGACTCATTAAATTCTGTAGATTGGTAGGAAACATTTATTGTATCTATACCAGTTCTCATAGTTGCAGAAAGATTGATAAGTTTTTATACTGAGACCAGATTGAAAATTAAGAGAGCAAATTATTTTTTTTTCTTGATCATTTTACAAAGTTAGATTGCACAGGACTTCTAAAAACAATTGGCCTTTTCGGAATCTAAAGGACTATGGGTAATCTCATTGTTTGTACACCAAAATGATAATAATGTTATGTCATTGGTTGAATTTCCATTGTTAAGTACGTTTTAAACCAATCACAACTATTTGGTGTACGCTTTTAAAATATTACCCAGAATGCATTACATTCTGAAATGGAGAATTGCCTGAAGACTATCATTGGGCAATGGAGCCACTTAAGATTAGAGAACACCCTCTGAAATGTTACATGGGTCATCTGCTATTGAATTAAAACATTTGCAAAAGAATTGTTGCTCCATGAATAGTTTCAAAATTCAATACCGAAGAATTTAAATATTAATTCAAAAGTTTAATTCTAATGAGAATGTTTTTGATATTTCCTGGTTTTACTGAAATACCAAAATATTCTAAAAGTAGAAATAAAGAAGACTCCCACTAAGCACAGAAAATAATTTTTGCAATAAAAAAAGTTTCCAGCAAATATATAAATGCTTGCACTACTATGTTGCTGAGATAGAACTAATCCAAGAAAATGTACTGAACTTCTTATGTTCGATATATAATTCTGAATTTATCTTAAAAGCTAGATCATAGCCTGATACACTGTTAACCAGCAATGGTATTGAGCTAGTACAAGTCAAAGTAAATAGGACTAGTCATGAAAAAAGTCTATAGCTAGAGCATATTGGTAAAAAAATACCAAGCAACAATGAAATAATACTATTCCTTATACAATTTCTACAAACAGGTTGAATTTTATACATTGATTGTCACAGAAATGGCACATGTACATAGCATTTTTTGGGGAAAATAAAAGTATTTGTATAATGCTGACAATGAAATCTGAATATTAAGAAACAATAATTTGATAATTTGTATTCCAGTTTTAAACCTATCATCCAATATGTTGATGATCAGTTTGAGAGGTATCTACAAGACGAGAGTGGACTTAACAGACGACACATCATTGATAATAGGGTCCATTGTTGTTTCTACTTCATCAACCCCTCAGGTCATGGGTAAGTAACACATATGTTAAGCTTTTGATTACTAATTAAACTACATGTATCCTTGGATAATTGGTTCCATATATTTTCTGTTTTTTTTAAATTTTCTGGTTAACTCATTTGTAAAACATGAATTATCTTAAATATGGATACAAATAAAGTCTTGCTTTTTTGCAGTAATTAAACTACTGCAGTTATATTCATTATATTACCAATGTTGTGGTGTACTAGTTTGGAATTTTTCTTAATTTAAAAAAGCATGAAATAATGTATTTTTTTTTAAATAGGTTATATGTTATACAATTGTAACATTATGTAAATAAAAAAATATGAAAATATGACCTGTGACAGACAAAATGTCAAATTAGATGCCACAAATGTAATAAATCTTCTTTTGCTACTTAGATGTTTAAATATTGATTATAGAAGGATTTTTCTGTTTTAAAGAAAACCAGGCACAAATTTACTGCTTGGAAGCACGAGGGAAATTACAGTATATATATCTGTAAGAAATTAAGTTTTCTCTATGATTTTTGCTTCCGCTGTTTCATCATGTGTGGAAAGAAAAATCCTATATCTGACCTGACTGCCCCTGAAATTACATCGTTTGCTCAATAATATACAATAACTTCGATTTCATTATTCAATCAATGTCTTAATTAACCTTTCTGACAATGTATACATACATAAAAGTATAATTAAAGAAAGGTCATGAAATAAATGTGTTATGTTCAAAGGAATGAAAAAAATAGCTGTATTGATAGTTTAATTGATAGTGATAGGTACATAATTATGATGCGTTAATTAGATAAAGTCTATGATAGGTAGATAAATAAGGCAAAAGGAGTTATGACCCTACTTGTAAAATCTATAAGCACATTAGACCAGCTTTGTCACAAAGCAAGCAGAGTTATTTCCCTTTATACAAAAATTAAAGAATTCCTTCAGGAGAAAATGAGTTGCTTCCCTTTTTATACGACCGCAAAAAAATTTTTGTGGTCGTATATTGGTATGACGTTGGCGTCGTCGTCGTCGTCGTCCGGCGTCGTCGTCCGGCGTCGTCGTCCGAATACACATTAGTTTTCGCACTCTAACTTTAGTTTAAGTGAATGGATCTCATTGAAATTTTACCATAAGGTTCAATACCACAAAAGGAAGGTGGGGATTGATTTTGGGGGTTATGGTACTAACAGTTAAGGAATTAGGGGCCAAAAGGGGCCAAAAATAAGCATTTTTGTAACTTCCAGACATAACTTGTGTGTAAGTGTATGGATCTCTCTGACATTGTACCACAAGGTTCCATATCACAAAGGGAATGCTGGGATTGATTTTGGGGGTAATTGTCTCCAAATTTTAGGAATTAGGGGCCAAAAAGGGGCAAAAAACAAGCATTTTTCTAGTTTCATGACAATAACTTGTTTGTAAGTGTATGGATCTTTATGAAATTGTACTACAAGGTTCCATATCACAAAGGGAATACTGGGATTGATTTTTGGGGTAATTTCCTCCAAATATTAGGAATTAGGGGCCAAAAAGGGGCAAAAAACAAGCATTTTTCTAGTTTCATGACAATAACTTGTTTGTAAGTGTATGGATCTTTATGAAATTGTACTACAAGGTTCCATATCACAAAGGGAAGGCTGGGATTGATTTTGGGGGTTTTCCCTCAAAATTTTAGTAATTAGGGGCCATAAAAGGGCAAAAAAAACATGCATTTTTCTAGTTTCATGACAATAACTTGTTTGTAAGTGTATGGATCTTTATGAAATTGTACTACAAGGTTCCATATCACAAAGGGAATACTGGGATTGATTTTTGGGGTAATTTCCTCCAAATATTAGGAATTAGGGGCCAAAAAGGGGCAAAAAACAAGCATTTTTCTAGTTTCATGACAATAACTTGTTTGTAAGTGTATGGATCTTTATGAAATTGTACTACAAGGTTCCATATCACAAAGGGAAGGCTGGGATTGATTTTGGGGGTTTTCCCTCAAAATTTTAGTAATTAGGGGCCATAAAAGGGCAAAAAAAACATGCATTTTTCTAGTTTCAGGACAATAACTTGTGTGTAAGTGTATGGATCTTTATGAAATTGTACTGCAAGGTTCCATATCACAAAGGGAAAGCTGGAATTGAGTTTGGGGGTAATTGCCCTAAACGTTTAGGAATTTGGGGCCAAAAAACAAGCATTTTTCTAGTTTCCAGACAATAACTTGTGTTCAAGTGTATGAATCTCTCTGAAATTGTACTGCAAGGTACCATACCACAAAGGGAAAGCTGGGATTGAGTTTGGGGGCGATGAATCATAAGGGGGTTCAAAAAATTGGGGGGGGGATTTTTTTTTTCCTTTTTTTTCTTTAACATTTTCCATTTTAAATTGGTTATTTCTGATTTATATATAAAAGCAAATAATAATGATATGGTTTGAATAGGCATACATGTGAACCTCCCGACGGGAGTACAATAATCCCGTTTTCAGGGGTCTCCTCCCCCACTCCCGTTGAAAAAATCCTGTGTATGAAATTTTTCATGAATGAAAAATTTCTGCCCAACATAACATCTCAGGCATCTGGTGTAACTGACATTACCTGAAGTTATATTTTAACTGTAAATCAATTAACATGCATAATTATATGGCTTCACTTGTCAGCTTGGGTGTCAAACATACTGGTAAGCAACGATTTTTACCTCAGGCTAACTGCCGTTGTGTAACAAAAACTGTGTATTTATTGGGTTACTTCCCTTGATTTATCCTGTTTTAAGTTACTTTCCTTTTAATAATGAAAATTTTTAAAAGAATATAAATAAAATATAAATTGAACAAATAATCATAAAAGGATGGTTATTAAATGATTTTAAATGTCTTAGGACAAATAAAAAAATAATAATTTGAAAATTATTTGAGGATTCTATACTTCCTTTTAAGGCTTAAATTGAAATTTATATAATAACTATGACCCAAAATTTACAGATAGAATGAATTTCTGAGTTTGCAAATAAAAACTATTTGCAAGAGAAAAAAAAAAAAAATAAAAACTATTTGCAGACAGCTAAACAAATGTTCCGGTTGCAATGATTGTTTTATAGAATATGAAGTAAAAAATTTAAAGAACATACTGGAAAAAAACAATGTTAGATTGAACATGTAGAATATAAAGATGGAGAAACTTTATAAGTACAAGGGTACTATAAACATAATAAATTGGTTGGAAAGTTGAAGAAAACACACTTTAAAAGACCATTTTTACAGCACACGGTTACATTTACAACAAAATTAATGTCGATTAAAAACCTCCTGATCTGAGTCCTAATCTCCTGACCAAAATTTCCCAATCTCCTGATCTGAGTTTCACAGTCCATCACATGTATGAATAGGTAAATTGAAAATTTTTAAGTTCTTAGACCACTTTCATTCTGTGTCAGAAACCTATGCTGTGTCAAATATTTAATTACAATCCAAATTCAGTGCTGTATCAAGCTTGAATGTTGTGTCCATACTTGCCCCAACTGTTCAGGGTTCGACCTCTGCGGTTGTATCAAGCTGCGCCCCAGCGGAGCATTTTATTTTATCATTTAATTTGTTTCTGGTATATGAATTATATTCTTTAATTTTTGTATCGTGAATGAATAGCATTGCACATTTTAAGTATACAACTGTTTCAGGGAAAAATTTGTTAATGTCGACTGTTTTATTTCATTTATTTCATACTCCTTTTAACATGTTTAATTATTTTTAGGTTACGACCCCTTGACATAACATTTATGAGAGCAGTTCACCATAAAGTAAACATTGTACCTGTAATAGCTAAAGCTGATACCCTCACAAAACATGAAGTTCAAAGGTTAAAGAAAAGGGTATGTAATAATGTTTGTCAAATATTTTTATGCTCTAAGAATTTTTTAATCATTCATCTTACATCATTTTTAGCTCATCATTTCCCACTGGTAGATTTAATTTATGGACTAAATCGAGGTCAGTTCATACAAATATGTGTGTTAAAACAATATGTTTAATAATGGAACCATATACTGGAGAAACAATATTTTCTGGAGTGACAAAAAAAAAAAAAAAATTTATGACATGATTAGCAAGAAAACCTATACACACATATATTTTTTGCCTTAACCTTCCACTGACAGAACATTTTAAGCAACTGACTTCTTACAATTTAACCTTTTCTCATGTTGTTTGAATTAGCAATTTGAAATATGCTTCAATGCTACCAGACTTGGTTAAAATGTTTATGTGATCGTAGTCTGGTACAAATACAAAATAGTTATGCTATGAAGCTCTGTGTATTGAAATATTTTATCTAGCTAATAGCTTGTAGGGTTATAATGATGCTTGATATGTTGTTGTGGAACATTATATCTTGTGTCATAAATCAGATTTTACTTCATTTTGGAAAAGCCAAAAAATGTTTTGCAAAAAACAATCAATCTGATTGGATCACCCAGTTTCTGAAAAGAAAGAAATGATTGTATAGTATGTTAAGGGTTGTTCCATGTTCCAGACGTAAATGAAGGGTAGGGAGTTGGAAGGCACTTTTAAATATTACCCTGCAATGCATAAAGTTTTCATTATTTCCTATAATGGTTCATGCATTCCATTTTAGATAAACACCAACTATAAATTCAATTTATAAAATCAATTCTGGAACTGCCCTAAGATAAATACAGACTGAATGAAGGGTATTAGTATATGAGTTTTGGGTGCAGTGCTTCTTTTTAAATAATATACTGCATATGTATATTTCAGGTTCTGGACCAGATAGATGAATATGGAATCAGTATCTACCCACTACCTGATTGTGACTCAGATGAAGATGAAGACTACAGAGAACAGTGTCGTCAGCTCAAGGTCAGTTAACTTCAAAATGTCTTGGTATTTCTTTGTTCTTGGGTTGCTGTTTCATTGTCATGTACCCCTCATCTGCTATGATTCACATTTAAAAGACTAAAAATACCATATGCATAGCCATTGTACAAAATACAAAATTAAAGAATGTATTGCTAATGGGAAAACAAATAATAAAGATACCATTTTGGCCTGCTATTGAATGAGTAGTAAGTTAACCTTGATAGTAGTGCCCAATTATCTCCCCTGGCTACTGTAACCTAACTAATTTTCAAGAGCAACTTTTATTTGTTGAAAAGAAATGCAAACTTAAATCTTCACGATTATATGAAACTAAATTCTTTTCAAATATGAATACATCAACAAAGTAAATAGCAAAAAAGATTGTTGCAATGTCAGCTGGAAAGAGCAAAACAGGGGAAAAAAAATCCACAAAAGCTATTTGGTTTACAGCATTTGATCTCAAGGAAAATTACCTTGTAATTGATACATTTATATCTTTCAAGTATTAAAATGCTTGGTTTGCAGAGTGGTCTAGAGAGTTAATTGACAAACAACAGCAAATACAGTATCGGTTTAAGACTCTAGGGTAATTTTCAAAAATGGTATGGCATGCTCATTCTAATGTATATTTACTGTGTATTCAGAAATTAGCGCGAGATTTTCATTAATGCAAATAATGCGACTGTGTGAGATTCGCAATAATAAGAACTCGCATTCTGATATCTGATACATATATCTGAATGCAGGTTTTTATTGAAATCGCAATAATTAATTTCACATTATTGTCCATTCCTTAAAAATCGCAATAATATATGCACGCAATAATTTCTGAATTTACAGTACTTGCTGCAGACAAATTGTTTACCTGGTCATAACAGTTTCCTCCACCGACTATTCTGATCCATATAAAAAACATGAATTTAAAAAAAAAAAACGTGAATATAAAACCACATCAAAGAAATAAACATCATTCAATCACTTAGGGATATTATTTGGCACATATAATATGGTGAGTGCAAAAATTAAAACTGCTTTTAAACCTTGATGTTACAAATCTTAGGCAGAAGCTTTTAGGTTTTATTTATAAGAAAAATAAAGTTAGAAATTTAATATTTGATTTTTAGGAAGCAGTGCCTTTTGCAGTCATTGGAGCCAATACAGTTATTGAAGTTAAAGGTCGTAAGGTCAGAGGTCGTATGTACCCATGGGGTGTAGTTGAAGTAGAAAATCCAGAACATTGTGATTTCATTAAACTGAGGACCATGCTCATGTAAGTTGTAGAGATCGAATGTGTAAAGGTCAAATGTTATTTAACCATGAAAAAATAATCTTCTATGAGAGATCAGTCTTTTCTTTCTTCCGTCCGTCCCATTTTTGTTTTTGGACTCTCACTTAAGTATTTCTTAATCAAATGTTTTGAAACTCATGTACAATGCTAAGAACCAAAACTCATTGACAAAGATCGAATTTGGGCAGTGAGTCTCTTACCATTCTAGAGTTATGCCCCTTATAACTTTGAAAATTGCAAATTTTTTCGTTTCCACACTCTATTAACTTAAGCTTGCCTCATGCAAATTTTAACTCTTTCACAAGCTAAGGACAAAAAGTGTGATCTTCACTTAACTACTATTAAGGTCATAAATCAGAAAAATCATTACATAAGAAATAAAACAAAACAGTGATAATATGAAAATAACACACAGCACAAAAATACCTAAGACGTAGAACAATAGAAAACTAGCAGTGACATCAGATGCTCCCAAAAAGTATTTTCACTTATAAGCAAGCTTGAGCAGGGGCATTTGTGTCCTCACACACATTCTTCTTATATTTAAAAGAATTTGTCATGGTATTATTTTATGAAAACTGACTTACAATTGCAGAAAAAATAAATAAATGAATAACTGATATTATAAATACATGTAATAAAATAACAAAAATACTGAACTCCAAGGAAAATTCAAAACGGAAAGTCCCTTATCAAATGGCAAAATCAAAAGCTCATACACATCAAACGAATGGAAAACAACTGTCATATTCCTGACTTGGTACAGACATTTCCTTATGTAGAAAATGGTGGATTAAACCTGGTTGATAGCTAGCTAAACCTCTCACTTGTATGACAGTCGCATAAAATTCCATTATATTGACAACAATGTGTGAACAAAACAAACAGACATAATATGTAATTATAATGTATCATGTAAAAGATAACTATAATTGCATCCAAAAGTGGTTGGTATTTCTGGTTTGTCGATTTTTGTTGTTGTTGATTATTATTATAACCCCCTCTCTATTTTCAGTACACATATGCAGGACTTACAAGAAGTTACACAAGAAGTGCATTATGAGAACTTTAGAGCTGACAAACTTGCAGGAGGAGGGGGCCAGGCTGTTCCAAAGAAAGTCAGGTGTGTATTTAACCCTTACTCAATTATATCATCTAAGTCTGATTATTAGATGTTTTCTCCTATTCTTTACTGTTGTTGTTGAGTTATGGATTCCTATTCTCCATTTATTTTATTTTGGTCCCCATTTTTTGCTTTTCTTGTTATTGTTTATAGGTCAGGCTGTTTGTGTTATTAAAGTACCTGAAATAAACTAACTTCTTGTAAAATAGTTAAATAATTGAGATGACAAGTTCTATAAAGTGATATTTTGCTAATACTGTGGAATCATTTTTATTCGTGGGATACCAATTATTGTGTATTTCGTTGGTTGAGGAACATGAATTAAAATGTTCAACTAAGTATCAATTTTCTAAAGGCTTGTGGGCAGGCTTTTAGAAATCCATGAAATCACATATCCACAAATGCTCAATCCACAAAAATTGGTAGGCATGAAAATAAATAAATCCACAGTTATATAAGAAATCTGTTCAATAATTGATCATGTGATCACTAAAAAGACCATAATGTTATAAGGACTGTTCCTATTCACCATGTGTAGTACCCAGGGAAGGCACTTACAAATTGGGAAACCACATATGGAGGCAAATTTAGAATTTCACCTATATTTTCACTTTACTTTGTTTCCTGGGTTCAACATATGTTTTTATCTGGAAAAAACCCTTAACCAATTTTTTACACAGAGGGTAAATTCTAAATTTAATCTACAAACTTTGGAAATAGCCTAGAATTGCTATATTTTGGTATAATTTCATTAGGGCTGATCCACAATTAATGGGGTAGAAGAATGGGAGGCACTCTTATTAATTGAATATGGGTGGTCACATTTTCCTTAGAATTTTATAAAGATGTTGTAGGGAAAAAAGAATGCTAACTTGTACCAATTATAGTTGGTGTTGAATATCATGTACACTATTGACTCATACAGAAAATAAATGATTTCTGAGGAACAGAATTCAAACTTTGACTAAGACATCAATTTAAATGTTCATTGTTTCATTATCATTTATGTAACATTCACACTTTACAGAGGACGGCAGCGTGAAGAAGCTGTTGAGCAGGAGTAGGTCTCATTTACATATTATGCATATTCATACAGTCATTCATGCATGTCACTTTAATTTTAATCATTCAACTTTGTTAGTGTTAGAGGGACATGTCAACTATAACAGATTATTCAGAATGGAAAGTTGCATGAATCCAGGAGTTACCTCCCTTTGATAACAGACCAACATCTGCATGAATTAAACCAAAAAATTCCTGCCCAAGCAATTCATTTCCACATTTTAAATGAGAAAATGTCTGCACCTATTCATACTTTCTTACAAATGGTCAGTTTACTTTCAACTTGATCAAAAGGCCATTAAAAAATGGAAAATTTTGGAAAATTGCTCATGTTAAAAACTTAATTTGATTCAAAAGAACAGTTGGGATGACTTCAAGCCGGCTATTCTTTAGATTTAAAACATGGTGGGACAATTGATTTAACATAGAAAAAGGAGAAAAATCTATTATTTAAAGAGTACTGGGTAAAAATTAATGAAATGTTGGCCCACCATGCACACATTCATTGAAATAAAACACTGATCTTTATTCAGGTGACCATCTGAATTCTGCTTAAGCAGTGTAATTTTAAACAACAATCAGATTTTTGATAGATTTAGATAGAATTTGAATTAAATTGGCCATTTGAAAAAAATTATGGACTTCGTGAAAATTTTTCCATGGTAATAGATTGTTTTCTTTATGCAAACTAATATTTCCCTAATTTACTAGATTTCAGACAATTAAAAACTTGAATTCACATGTTTTGGAGGGAACATGTGAGAGGTTAGTTATAAGGGTCTTAAGCATATAAACGAAATGCCTATGTTACGGGGGAAAAAAACTGGAGGATAATTTTGTGTAGTATGATAGAAACAACTTTAACAGCAGCTTTTCAACAAAGAAATAGAAGACTTTATAAGATTAAATTTCATTTGCAAAAATTAAGCTTTTATGGTAGCTAATGAAAATTGTTGAAATTTTTTTTAATGAATAACAGCTTTTCATCAAAGAAATACTATAAAAAATGATTAAAAAGAATGGAGCGTTTTCTAAACAGAATATTAAGATAAAATAATAACCGCTTTTCAGTAAAGAAATAAAAGAGAATGGGGCTTTACTTGTAAAGAATGTTAAAGAAAACATTTTCTCACTATGAATACTACCTTTATTCAATGATATTATTCTTTTTATTCATATGATTTTTATGTGCCAAATCTTTGAAACCATTAATTTTACAACTATAAAAAAAAAATTAAAAGAAAAAATTTGACAATCCCCAAAATTGCTAATGCGTAAATAAAAGTTGTTTATTATATAGATGAAGTTGATTTTTATAAATTTACCATTGTTATAAATTCAATTAATATCACACGTAAAGTTTTTTCATTTATTTTTTTCTGTTTGGATTTTCCTGGCTTTTTACTAGACTCGTGCATGATATTAAACAAGTAGATGTGGTATGATTGCCAATGAGACACTTTTCCACCAGAAGCCAAATGGGGTTAGCAACTATAGCTCACAGTACAGCCTTCAACAATGAGCAAAACCAATACCACACAGAAAGTATGAGACTTCTAACTAAAGATTTGCACCGTGACACTTTAAACTAATTGATTTAGAGTGTCTCATATAACAATTAATCATAGTCCGGGTTCATTTAAAACAACTTCTTGCTTTTCAATAATTGCAAAAAGAGCATCAACCTTTTTGAAGGAACGATCTGCCATTCTGATAACTGTGTTCATACACTAAAAAGGAACATGGAAATCTACAAAATAGAAAGTGAATCCAGCTAATGCTAGTAACACAGAAAAAAGTTTTGATAATCTATTTCTATATACTTAAAAGTCTGACTAATTGTCGTAAAAAATAAGATCACATGTGACCAAACCCTGCTTTGGATTAAACTTGTACTGCACACTAGTTTAATTGATGCGTCATTCCTTCACACGTTATCTGATTTTTAATATGCAATACAGCATTTAGCTATACATGTACTAGAATTCACAGTAAGATGGGAAAATTTCTAAATCAAGGAATTATTTAAATCGGGAATAATTTTTTGAATTCTAGAAAATTGTTAAGAAATGCATGATGAAAATTAACCTAACTATGGGAGGTTAGCCAGGCACACATGGCTTAGGTTCAAGTTAATTTCACCAATATTTCAGTATGAACTAACTGACCCCCTTAGCCATGCGCTGAAGGCTAACCCTCCTTAATAGGGTTAGTTTTCATCATGACTATCTTATCAATTTTACAAAATTCAAAATTGTTCCAAATTAAAATAATTCCTTGTTTTAATGTTTTGTGTGTAATTATTGTAAATTTCTATTGTGATATGTATGTCAGAAAAGAAACACACAATTGATTATGTTGTTATGTATTATTGCATTTTAATGAAAATAGAAGAATGAATATATAGTATACATAACTTATTTTATTATTTTTATTTCTACTTTTTCCTATGTGTCTGTGTGTGTGTCTATGGTACCAATATATTATATATTTGGTAAGCGTCTGATAGAAGTTGTAGTGTGTAGATTTTGTAACTCTGTATTAATTTATTTTTTATCAAGTTGATCAAAATTATGTTAATATTCTGATGTTTACTTAAATAATTTTTTGGCAGAATATTTTGATTGACCTCATTTTGGGGTCGTTGTAAAGATAGCAAGAATTGCATTCAGCTTAACGAAATTCAAGTATGTCTTGAAACAAAAAAGTGTTAGATTTTTTAAAATTTACAATTTTGATCAGCTTTCTAAAAACAATATCTTGAATCTTTATGCATATAATAAATATTTCTGAATGTAATTGAATTGATTTGAATATCCAAATATTTTATACATATCTGTTCATGAAAAGTTGGAAACTGGCATAGTTGTTAAATTTGGCAAATTTTGGCTTTGTTCTGAGGATGGATTTTAACAAATTTCTCCAATCATTACAACTTTTGTGTTGGTCAAAAGATATCTTTAGATTAAAAAAAAAATGTTATTTACTCCAATGTTAAAAGATGGATTTTATTTTTTTAATTTTTTTTTAAAGTTGACTTTATGTTGCCAAATTCCATTTTTTCATAGGCGGAAATTGACATAATATAATTTTTTTTATTTCAATTTGTGTGGTTTATATTGACAAGTGTTTTCTCTAACCAAGCATATGATTTACTTTAAACTAAACATTTTGTGCATCTTTTGCATACTTTCTCAAATTTTGATTAACTTTAATAGATGTATTTTTAAAAGCGCTATTTTATGTAGTGTGTCACTTCACATAGTCAGATACAACTGTTTATAGAAAAACACACTTGAGACGTTAAAATCTCTCTTTTGAACACCTTTATCTGTTACTAATTACTAATTATTATAATCTGTGGAACAAAATTCTGTAGTGTATAATGTTTTTGACCGGTCAGTCAGTCCGTCTGTCAGTTCTGTTCTTGTCATTACAACTCCTCTGAAACCACGCAACAGAATTTCATGAAACTTTGTAGATAATAAGGACATACTATGTAGATGTGCATATCAACAGAAAAGTATGATTCAGTTTTTATTCTAGGAGTTATGCCCCTTTGAACTTAGAATTATGGCCTAAATATACTACTGCAGTAGTTTGTCATCGCAACTCCCCTGAAACCACGCAACAGTATTTCATGAAACTTTGTAGATAATAAGGACAGACTATGTAGATGTGCATATCAACAGAAAATTATGATTCAGTTTTTATTCTAGGAGTTATGCCCCTTTGAACTTAGAATTTTGGCCTAAATATACTATTGCAGTAGTTTGTCATCGCAACTCTCCTGAAACCACACAGCAGAATTTCATGAAACTTTGTAGATAACAAGGACATACTATGTAAATGTGCATATTGACAGGAAATAATGATTCAATACTTTTTATGCCCTATCTAGAGGCATTATGTTTTTCGGTCTCTGCGTCCAATCGTCCGTCCCTCCGTCTGTCTGTCCCGCTTCAGGTTAAAGTTTTTGGTCAAGGTAGTTTTCGATGAAGATGACGTCCAATCAACTTGAAATTTAGTACACATGTTCCCTATGATATGATCTTTCTAATTGTAATGCCAAATTAGAGTTTTGTCCCCAATTTCACGGTCCACTGAACATAGAACATGATAGTGTGAGTGGGCATCCATGTACTATGGACACATTCTTGTTCTAGGAGTTATGCCTCTTTGAACTTAGAATTATGGCCTAAATATACTACTGCAACAGTTTGTCATCGCAACTCCTCTGAAACCACACAACAGAATTTCATGAAACTTTTTAGATAGTTAGGGCTTACTATGTAGATGTGCAAATCCACAAGAAATTTTTATCAGTTGACATTTGTAGGGGTCATAATTCTATGAACTTAGGAATCTAGTGAGAATTTGTTTGCCCAGTGACAATGTGGGGGCGTGGGGTATCATATGTAAGCGTACTCACAAAGGTTCTTTGATTTGAATTTAGTTAGTAAAATGGTTTTTATAGGTACTGTTTAAAAACTAAAACTGAACTTACAAATTTTATATTTGATTTATGAAATATCAAAATTACCTACTATATATGTTACTGAATACAAACAAGCAGTGCAGCAATCACTTGGCTTCTATGATATTTTATTTATAATGTAATTTCAACAACTGCATTTTAAGGCCAGGTCAATTAAAATAAAATTCTGATCATCATTTAAATCTATCGTAATTATTTAAGATGTATAAAATGTCTTTGTTTATTGATTTAATAAATGAGTTCCTTTTTATTTTTGCAATTTTTTCATCCCCTCAGAACTGAAAGATAATAGATTTTCATAAAAGATATGCCAACAAAGTTGATGCCCAGACATAAAATTCATATAAAATCATTCTTTTGGTATTAGCCATTGTCAATAATTTGTCATGCTATATTCAATGTATAGTTGTCAGATTATCCAGGGCTGACATAAAAACAATCTATAAATTTTTGTTTACAGTAAAAATCGTCGCCCTGAAAGTATGGTTGGTGGTGATGAGAAGGAAAAACAATTACAAGAAAAAGATGCAGAGGTAAGGTTAACTAAAAACGGACTGTGGCTAATGGACATTTCATGTTTTAAGGCCACCTTTAAGAAATTATTTGTTTGAGGTTACCTACCCATGCTTTGTAGGGTTGGGTAGGTAAGTAGGGATTTTATTTATTTGTTTGGCCAACAACATAAGTTACATGTTTTAGACAAGAAAACAGTTTTAGAGCAGGAAAAAATCTTGAAAAAAAAATTTGAAACGATTTGTGTCATAAAATATTTTGGGTAGGTAGGCAACATCGAACAATTTAAATGTATTTTTGACCCAAGATTTAGTGTTTAATCGTGTACTTGTAAAGGGGCAAACTGGCTCGCATTTATATTACAATTAAATAAAAGGACATGTTTAACTTGTGAAAAAAAAAATGTAATTTAATTTTAAAGTTTTTATTTCCAATCTTGTTTGTCTAAAACCTTTGATAAAACCGTAGCTAATAATGAAATAAATCTTTTAAATGATCAATAGTCTAATGTTAGGTGTAAACACTGGTAAAAAGTAAATAAGGGAGCATTAAACATTTAGTTCTGTAAATTTGAGAAGTTCTAGTTTATATGTAAATGATTTTTACTGCCAATCAGACCTAAAATAATTCTTTGTATCTACTTAAAACCTATTTGAATCTGTATTCTTTTTAATAGAAAATTCAAACTTTTTTTACTTCTATCACAGCTGAGGAGGATGCAAGAGATGGTAGCTAGAATGCAGGCTGAGATGGAACAACAAAAACGTATGGCTGGAACACCAGGCAAACAAAATGGGGGAATCAAAACAGAAAATGTCTAGGTATGTTTGTTATGAGAACCTATGTTTCTGTCATCATAATATTGAATATTCTGAAGATAGTACATGACCGACCCTTTAGAAGGGGGAATAAAGATATAAAAAAAAGAGGAAGACACAAAACAATTAAGGTGGTATATAACACTACAGGGAGATAACTCTGTAAAGATCAGCTGAACGTTTTAATCACTTTCTATTGTTAAGGAAATATTAAGCTTCTCAATGATCAAAATTAGTTTTTGTCAAACTGCTATAATCCAATGAAATATTTCTGTTAAAGTGTGTGGTTCAAGTTTTTGAAATTTTTATATTTTTGTCAAAGGGGCAAAGTAAATATTTTGTCAAAATTTTATGAAAATTAAACGAGTCAAATTAATTTAAGCCAAGGTGTTTGGTACCACCTCAAAAAGCAAATAGAGAGAAGTACTGACTAAGAAAAACAGACAGACATTAACAGTGAACACAAAAAAATCAAGGTTTCTGCAATAGACTTTATCCCCATTTGGGAATCTGCAACACTTGACTTGAGCATTTGTGACACTTGAACTAGTGACTTCATACAACGATCTTTTGTGGAGTCAGACAATTTTTTCTTGTGACATCAAAATTTTACTAAATTGTCTGTGATGTCGGTAATGTAAGATTTTCACTCATTTTTGGTTTCGAACCATTCTTTTATCCATATTGTTCAGAATTATTGTAATGCTACATATATATTATGAATTATATTTATTTAATCATAAGTTTATCATACTTTCTGGTTTCTCCAGATTACCTGTTGTTTCATTCCAAAGAGTTATGAGAGAACACATTGTCAAAATTTTTTTAAAGAAATTTTCAAGTTGAGATTTTATGTAAACTTCTAGTCGCCTGTCTTTCATTGAATTTTAAAGCAGATTTTAAACATGTTGAATTAAAGACAACTTTCCTTACAAAACTCTCTTTAGTTTTGCTGTGAAAGAAAACTTACCTCTACCAATTATGTTCTTGATTTATATTTACAGATTTAGTGCCACATATTAGATGGAAAACAAGTTTTTATGACAACATGGTGCTACCAAGGCAACAGTTTATTACTAACATTGAGTTGGAATGGCATTTGTTTTCTAACAGAATTTTCCATCAAATTGCAACAGTTTCTAAACTTTTTGTATTTCATTCCTTGTTAAAGATCAAAATCATATTTTGTCAGAAATTTTATATTTATTGTAAACAGTTGCAATTTATTTTTATGGTGTATTTTTTGTTGCTTGTTTTATTTTGCAAATATTTACAAAGGGAGACAAATGTGACATGTGAAAGGGAAGAACTGTGCAATTATCTCGTACTTATTCAACACATATTCATACAAATGTTTCAGACCTTAATCACTTGTGGGAAATTAAATGTTAATTCAGTATTATGAAATATGATAGGTCGAAGATGTTAGATACAACAAATATTTAACCAATGAATTTCTTTATTACATTATAAAGTAGATCAATGTGTTCTTCTTACTAATGAGTTGAATTATATGACATGGATTTTCTTTTTAGTTATTGATCTCTTAATTTGCTTCAATTAACTTTTGGCATTTTATTATTCTTAACTACTGAAAAATATATTCTAGTCAATTTCTCTTGCCAGCTTTAAGCTTTAATGATACTTAATATTTTACACAACTACAGCAAGTATAGTGTTGTTTTTTTTAAGATCTCAATGATAAATTGTGTTTCAAATTTTCAGAAAAAGGCAGTTTGGGATATTTGATGTTTTCAGTAACTTCAAATTAAAATGGATCCAGTAGGAATAAGCTAAAGTAACTTTTTATAAATAAAAAAAAAAAGTATTAGCGATCACTTATAGATATAAAAATGTTTTGTCCAAATTGTTTGGGGTTATAGCCTGAGCAAAATTTTAACATGTACATACAGGAAGTAGTTTAGAGCCTGTATCCCTGTAGACCATTAATTGTATCTTTAGTAGACATTCCTTCGGTGTAGTTTGTCAGAGGGACCAGGTCTCTGTCATATTTGTTTTAACAGCCTTATCTGAAATGATTTAATGCACCAAGACTTAGTATGTGAATCCAAAACCTGAATTGTTTCATAGTATTTTTACATTAATCAGTAAAATACCCTCAGCTGAAATAATGTTTTCACATTTTCTGTTGAATTCTAATTCATTCATGTATAGGTATTAGAATACCTCAAAACAGATCCTTGCTTGGGAACGGCAGGTTCATTCCTATTTAAAAAAAATATTTCAGGATACCAGCAAAAAGTTATTACTGTTGATTTATTAAAGTGCTAATTTACCAATTGAAAAATACTGCTGAATAATGAACAAAAACCTATACAAATGTCTTCCTCAAGAGGGATAACTCTATAAGTCAACAGAACGTTTAATGGCATTGTGTTATCTCAGACCAATTCTATAAAGAAAATAATTGTTACTTATGTTTTGTGCCTATTTTCTGCAAATCTTTGTTGCAACTAGCTTGTAATTTTTTAAAAGGAAAATCAATAAAAATAGAAATAAACAAATATTTTAGAATTTGCTTTTTAATTGAAGTGATACACCAACTCTCCCACCAAAAACAAATTCAGTATTTTTATGCATTTATTTCTATAGAATCTCATACTTCTACATAGTTTATAGTCAGCAATAATTTTATATCATTTTACTGCATAACTGTAATTATTCCATTTATTTGTGTCAAATTTTATTTATTTGTTGTTTCGTATATTAATCACGTTCATTTATGTCTGGTGTTTCTGTTCTGACCAGTCTCAAAATTATTCTTAGATGATAACAGGTTTGATATTGTCACAATTTCTTCATATCATTCGAAATTTAAAACATTGGTACGTTTTCCTTATTTATTAAACTATTTGTCAAATGGAATAGATTTTATATTCAGACTAGCACCAGTCATACGATTAACTACAAAGTCACTGACGCAGGCCAATGAAAATGTCAATGGACCAATATCCTGCTTCTTTATATAGGTGCTACGAATCTAATAGATAAAAAGAAAACTAATTTAGGGAGTAAGCCAAAAGGTTTTTCATGAAACTTTTAATGCAATGCATATATCATGGACTTAATTAAGAAATTGAAAATATTCATGATATAAGAGATTTTGTAAACTGTAGAAATGAAATGACAAATTTTGTATTTAAAATGTTCAAAGAATCATTTATTTCAATTGAATGCTCATCATTGATCAATTAGAATATTTTTACATTTTTATGACTTATTAAAAAACTTATTTTTGACTGGTGAGGCAGTAATAACCACTGTAAAATGTGTATTATGTGTAACATATACAATCAATCATATACAAAAATGAATTATACATTCAACAAATGAAAATAATAAAAATTTTATGTAATACACTTGTTTCTTTTAATACAAGGAAAAATGTAATGAAAAAATGGCACAGGTACATTCACACAGAACTTGTTGAACAGAGATTGTACAAAATGCTGTTAAACATCCTGAAATAGAGAGCTGTTTCAGGAAAAATGCTAACATGTATATAGGAGTCTATAGGTTGCACTTTGTAATTACAGCTGTTTCACAAATACACCTTTTTTGGGGGAGATATTTACCTACTGGCATTAGTAAGCAGTAGCTAGGTTTGGATACTCCAACTTCCTCCACCAACAAAAACTGGTCATCAAGATATAGTCAATGCTGCTGAAAGTGGCATTAAACACCAAAAATCAATCAATCAACTTGATAAATTTATCCTCAATGTCACCCTGAATATGCATGAAATATCTGGCATTAGATGTTGATTCATGTATAAAAATGAGATGATATTGTATGGATGGCAATAAGGACTGCAGACAGCTATCCACCAAAAAACAAAGGTCAATATAAGTAAGAAGATGTGGTATGAGTGCCAATGAGACAACTCTCCATCCAAGTCACACAATGTATAAAAAGTTAACAATTATAGGTCAAAGTACGGCCTTCAACACAGAACCTTGGCTCACACCGAACAGTAAGCTATAAAGGGCCCCAAAATGACTATTGTAAAACAATTCAAACGGAAAAACCAAGGGTCTAATCTATATAAAAAACGAGAAATGAGAAACACTTGTAAACCACATCAACAAACGACAACCACTGAACAACAGGCTCCTGACTTAGGACAGGTGCATAAAAATGCAGCGGGTTTAAACATTTTAACAGGCTCCAGCCATGACCCTAACATGAGACAGTAGTATAACATTACAACATAAAAAGACACTATAAAATTTCAATCGAAATGGCTTAACTTGATCAAAAAGACATTTAAACAAAAACAAGTAAACATACGCTGAATGAATAAGTTTGATCTATGACACAATATGAATACAATATTAAGGACGTTAGCAAACAATAATCAATCAATTCACTAACAAAAAAGTCTGCTTTCTAATACAGAATTTTGGTGAAATGTATATGTTCTAAGGCTAAAGGCCTTTAATTATTGTAAATGTGAATGTTCAGAACAATAGGCCCCTTCACGGTTAGTGCAGCCATGTTGAATAGGGGGCAGATTTTCATTATGGAGGTAACAATGGTTTGAAAAATACAGGAAAACATCATTAAAAGAGGACAGTTGCTTGGCAACATGCATAGGATTTCCCGTACTTTCATACTATTTCCACCTCTATCCAAAAAATCTGCCCCTATTCAATATGGCCGAACTAATCGTAAAGTGGCCTATTAAGTTAATTTTGGAGAGCATCATTGAGAAAACATGAAAGGTCATTCAACTGAATTGTTGTATTCAAGATGAAATTTTTCAAACGTTTCTGGTTTAATATTTTATACTTATTGAAACAAATGTGGATCAATTTTAGGAAAGTTCAATTAATACAAGGTCTATATGCAAGAGCATTTGTATTTAATATAGATAATGTAAAATTTGCAGAAATATTGTGTTACAAAACATAATGTGCATGGCTTATTTTATTGAATTAAATAACCAAAATTTGAATAAATTTTGTAAACATGTAACTTATTTTCAAAACATGAACATTTTGATCGGGCAACAGATTGTTGTAAAAACAAAGGATAGTTTTGAATTATTGGCATTCTTCAATTTAAAACTTCCTGGGAAAGAAGGAAATGAAATGTTACATGCCTATTCTCCAGTGATTATAATGTAAATATACACAAACACATTATGAGGAAACTTTTGAAAAAATTAGTTTCATATTTGTGTTTTGAGGAAAACAAACAAAAATTAATTCACAATGGCTGCTTTATCATTTAGCAGTGCTTAATATTGCGTTTAGTGTCTTTTATTCAAACTTCTAATATACAATAATATGCAGTTCGTACAAAGAAAATAAAAATGTTACCCAAGGAAATTTTTTAAACTAGACTTTTCCTATAAGGAGTAATCTAGATATTTTTTTTTAAATATTTTTTTTTTCTTTTAGAAATAACACCTATGATGCTTAAAAAAGAGTCATTTTGTAGGCCTATTAAGTTTTATGTTTGCTCACAGTCCATATATTTTCTCTTTGAGTTACAAAAATAAAAAATTATGGAAGTTCGATTTGTGGATTAAAACGCCTTTCAGAAGTGTACAAATGCATCATTTATAAAAACATTTTTTTTCTTTCTTTATGTCCAATGGCAAATATTTCATGCATATTTAGGAGATTATAAGCATGTGAGATAAAAGAAGTACAAGGCATATGATTTCCTATTCTGAAATAACAACATGTCATGAGAAGCCACAAATTTTCCACTAAGCGAACTATGGTTAGATGCCATCTGTAATTAACCTTGAAGGACCTCTTGTGTCAGATGATTAGTTTTATTAAGATAAACAATAGTTCATCCTGCCTAATTATTGCAGATACTGAAAAAATTCTTTTTGCCATAAATATATAAAGATGTAGTATAATTGCCAATGAGACAACTATCCAACAGAGAGGAAGTGATGTTGGTAAAAAGAAATATAGGGCATTGTACTCAGCTCTTTTTTCATAATATTCTAACAAACTTTATGAAAATCATTTTTTTTTTTTAATAACAAGGAAATATGAAGTTTTATTTCCTTATTTTTCATATAATTCTACATTTAGAGGAACTGAAGTGAAATTCAAAATTTTTGATTAAATAAGGAAATACAAAAAAAATTGAAATTGATTACAATAACAATCAGGAAATAGTTCTTAAGTTATAATTATAACAGGAAGAAGCCTTATAGGTTTAATAATGTCCACAGTCTAATAAGTTGTCGGTAACACAGTGCTATTGTCTTTCTTTATAAGGTAAGATTTCTTTAGATCTTTTTTGAATAAATGTAAATTTTTGGCAAATGATAGCCTAAAGTATTTCATCTATCAGATGATCATTTGATTGATTTTTAGTGTTTATTGCCACTTTTAGCAGCATTGTCTATGTGATAAGTGGCCAATTTTTATTTGCTGTAGAGAACAACCATGCAACCTTGGACAGGAAAACTAAGCAATCCTAGTCAATTAATATTGGAGTCAAACACACCTTGCCATCAGCTGGGTTCAAACTCTCAACCTCAGTGTAGAGGACCACTTGAGCTTTAATATTTATTTGGTAATTGTCTATTACTAGTATTAGTCTGGTTGTATCTATCCCCACTGAAACAAGTGACTGAAATTGACCTAATCTTGACAGGATAAATTCTCATTGTGGTCCTTTCATGCTTAAATCATTGCTACAAAAGTTTTGTTTTAAATGGTTAATTTTAATTTTAACTGGCAGATTATAAGATGAAATGATTTTAAACTGTAGGAATTATAACCAGACAGACTTGAGACGCACACTGTCGGTAAAACTTTTAACAGAGAAATCAGTCTTGTCACCCATTGGCAAAATAGATGCACTAGCATGTAGTGCTTTAAGGTATTATCGGTTCACCTCATGGAAGTATTTATATTATACTTCATTCTTGATATGAATACAAGGCGAAGTGAGGCTATATATAATTGTGGCAGTGAACCAACAACACAAGAACCAGAAAAAATGTCTCTTTATGGATTTCAACTAACTATATATTTATTGACCCCCCCCCCTAAAATTACTATATAACCATATTCATATTGCATATGAAAATTCTGCTATCAACTTAAAAGTGTTTCCTTATCCGAAACCTTAAATGACCTTCACATTCCCAGCAATCCTAACTATTGTTAGTCCTATGAAAATTCATGAAAGGTACCAGGCTTCATATATGGTAAGTCACTTCAGTGACGCAGTTTGACAAACAAATCATCTATGAAGTTGAAGAGCCTTAAAAATGGAAAATTCTGATAACTTGTGCCAATTGCTTCTAATGCTATTTATGCCTAGGGGTAGAAAAACCTTAATTGATTGATTTGAATAGTTCAACATTTTATCAACAGTTAATTTACAGAAAATAACATTTTATCAACAGTCAATTTACAGAAAATAACATTTTATCATCAGTTAATTTACAGAAAATAACATTTTATCAACAGAAAATTTACAGAAAATGAATGTATCAATGATATAACATATCAACACAAAAGTGCTAACTACTGGGCTGGTGATACCTTTGGGGACAAAATGTCCACCAGCAGTGGCATCATGACCCAGTAGTTGTTAAACTCATCAAAGATAATCCCATTATTTTTTGTTCCAGAATCTGATAATACCATGTGAAACAAATACCATATGATATGCTTTCATTGCATATCCACCATGTAGATAGTTAAATTAGGGTAGAGTTTTATTTTACTTTATTTTTTGGGGGGTGGGGGTGAGGGTAGAAAGCCAAGTTAACCACTTAAATGCTTGCTGTAACAAGATCCAGGACAACTGTTGCTGCCAAAACAAATTCAAACATGGACTTGTGATTCTACATAATGCATTGAACCCAACGTACTCCAAATCCCTAATAAAAAAGGGAATGAATTGTGATTGTGGGTTCAACTTTTTTTTGTTATATATGAGTTCTGTGCATTGTAAAATACCAGGAAGTAAAATGCTATCTACCAGATACAAATCTACAGATAACTGTGATGTTTGTACATGTAAAACATAGAGGTTAATCATGCCAGATTATAACATGCCTTACATCCTCAGTATTGATACTTTAAATTCAATAATCAATGTGTGCATTTATTATTGCGAAGCCTTGACCCGTGAAATCTAATTAATGCTATAGCAACAATTTTAAGAAGAATACAAAAATTATATAAAGAAAAAAACTACCAAAATTATGATTGCGAGTTTTTGTTATTGCTAACCTGATGCTTTTGCATTTTCGCATTTATATAGATATTGCAATAATTTCTGAATTTACAGTTATAGAAACTATATAATGAACCATGCAGATGTATACATGTAAGTGCTATAGTTCTTAAATCTGACAACATA